GGGTGCCTACCCCTGGTCTAGTTTAAGGAAGAGAAGGACGAGGGGGGACACGATAGCAGCCTTCCAGTATCTCAGGGGCTGCCCCAAAGAAGAGGCAGTCAAGCTATTCTCCAAAGCACCTGAAGGCAGGACAAGAAGCAACGGGTGGAAACTAAATCAAGGAGAGAAGCAGCCTAGAACTAAGGAGAAACTTCCTGACAGTGAGAACAATTAACCAGTGGAACAACCTGCCTCCAGAAGTGGTGAATGCTCCAACACTGGAGGTTTTTAAGAAGAGACTGGACAGCCATTTGTCCGAAATGGTGTAGGGTTTCCTGCCTGAGAAGGGGGTTGGACTCGATGACCTCCAAGGTCCCTTCCAACTTTATCATCATTATCATTATCAAGCCCTTTGTCCGAAATGATATAGGGTTTCCTGCCTGAGCAGGGGGTTGGATTTGATGACCTCCAAGGTCCCTTCCAACTTTATTATTATTATTATTATTATTATTATTATTATTATTATTATTATTATTATTATTATTATTATTATTATTATTATTATCATCATTATTATCATTATTAATTATTAATTATTATTATTAAGCAGGTCAGCTAGGCAGCCCTGTTCTCCCCTGTACTGTTTACTTCCCTTATTGCTCTTATCAAACCACCACATTCCTGGAATTACACAGCCAGCTCAGTGCTTCCTTTAACCCCATATTTTTTATCTGGAGGAACTGAGACAGCAGGCTCTCTTAAAGAGCCAGCAAAACTGGCAAGATTCTCCTTTTGATAGAAAAAGCTATTCCAATGCCCTCCAAAATCTCAGGACGGGGGCTTCCTACAACAGGCTCATTTAGTGACTGGCTGAAGTTACGACAGCATTGAAAAATGACCTCTTTTCACGACGGATGCAGCACAACCCCCGTTATGTGATCAAAATTCAGACCTTAGCAATGGCTTCATATTTGTGATGGTTGCAGTGTCCCAGGGACCACGTGATCCCCCCCCTTTTGCAACCTTCTCAACAAGGCAAAGTCAATGTGGGGAGCCAGATTCACTTAACAATGCTGTTACTAACTTGAACAATTGCAGCGATTCGCTTAAGAACCATGGCGAGAAAGGTCCTAAAACGGGACGGAATTCACTGAACAAACGGTTTCGCCTAGCCCAGGGGTAGGCAACCTTGGCTCTTTTATGACTCGTGGACTTCAACTCCCAGAATTCCTCAGCCAGCATGGCTCAGCTTGGAAACCTCTCCCTTTCCCCTCAGCATGGCTGGCTCAGAAATTCTGGGAGTTGAAGTCCACAAGTCATAAAAGAGCCAAGGTTGCCTACCCCTGGCCTAGCCAAACAAAATTTGGGCTCAGTGGTAGTCCTAAATTGAAGACAGCCATCTATACTGAAGGGGAAGGAGTTGCGGAATCTGGGGGTGAGAGTCAAAAGAGGAATCAGCCTAGAATCCCTAGGTAGCCACAAACAAACAAAGGCCCAACCTGCCTTGAATTCGGTTGACCGAATTCTAACTCTAAGCAAGTCAAGCTATTCTCCAAAGCACAAGAAGGCAGGACAAGAAGCAACGGATGGAAACTCATCAAGGAGAGAAGCAACCTGGAACTTTCCTGGACTGGAGGCTAAAATATATGAAGAACAGTTGCTGGAATTGGGGATGTCTAGTCTAATGGAAGAGAAGGACGAGGGGGGACATGATAGCAGGGTTCCAGTATCTCAGGGGCTGCCCCAAAGAAGAGGGAGTCAAGCTATTCTCCAAAGCCCCACAAGTCAGGAGAAGAAGCAACGGATGGAAACTAATCAAGGAGAGAAGCAACCTAGAACTAAGGAGAAACTTCCTGACAGTTAGAACAATTAACCAGTGGAACAACCTGCCTCCAGAAGCTGTGAATGCTCCAACACTGGAAGTTTTCAAGAAGAGACTGGACAACCATTTATCCGGAATGGTATAGGATCTCCTGCCTGAGCAGGGGTTGGACTAGAAGACCTCCAAGGTCCCAACTCTGTTATTCTATTCTATTTTCTATTCTGTTCTATTCTATCCTATTCTATTCTATTTCGATTCTATTTCTATTCTATTCCATGCCATTCCATGCTGATTATTAGCCAAGAAGATTCCTGTCATAGACTGTTAGCAATAAATCAAGTTAATCTTCCACTCCTGACCACCATTTTTAAAATGTTCTACCTCTGATGAGGATTCAAACTACGTCTCCTTCAGCCCCACTGTGAAGTTTGTTGCCCCACCTTCAATGTAACGTTCTCCAAACGTGGGGGTTTCCAACTTGCAAATTCCCCCCAGTGCAAACATCTGGAGGGCACCCAGGGTGGAAGGGGGGGAAAACCCAAAAGAGAAGAGTTGTGGATTTGGGGTTTTTTTTTTAAAAAAAAAACAACAACTGCTGAAATATATGATAAATGTGAGATGGAGAAAGACGTGGATTTGAAAATGGATAAAACGGTCAGAGGTAAAGAAAATGACGCGGTGGGAAGTCAGCCCCCCAGAGAAGGAAATATTAAAAGGGCAGAAAAATATATTTCCTCCAGGGATCTTAAAGAGGCAGACAAGCAGGCCCAGTTTTTTCTTAATAGCCCCAAGTCTCCCCCTTCCCCCAAGCAGAAACCAGCTCTGTAGAAATGCAGATGTAAACCATCCAGGAGGGTTGGTGGCCCCCAGCTAGAAGATTGAGAAGACAAAGAGGCCTAAAATCTACACGCCCCACCCAAACTCTTAAGACAGGACATAATAGGATTAACCCACAATACCAAAAGGCACACTCAGACTCAGGTCAAAGTTCATGCCACAGCAACAACTCCAAACAAAAGGCTCCAGAGAGGGTATAAAGTTTTTAAGAAGAAGAGACTGGACAGCCATTTGTCCGAAATGGTGTAGGGTTTCCTGCCTGAGCAGGGGGTTGGACTAGATGACCTCCAAGGTCCCTTCCATCATCATCATTAGGGTTGCCAGGTGTCCACTATTTGAGTGGACAGTCCACTATTTTCACATTATGTTCACTATTTTTTTTCACAAAATAGTGGACATTTTTTTTTATTCAAAAGCTTTATGATGAAATGGTACGTAATCTAAAGCTGTACAGTCTACTTTTTTTTACTACTTAACCCCCCCCCCCGCCCCGCTTGTCCGCTATTTTTTGGAAGCAGACCTGGCAACCCTAATCATCATCATCATCATCATCATCATCATCATCATCATCATCATCATTATTATTATTAGAGACCTTTCCTCAAATGATAAGAGGGGTTTTGTTAGGGGTGATTTGTTGGGGGTTTTATATTTTAGAGCAGGCTTTTATGTAATTATTTACTGTGATTTTTATTATTGCCTGTTCACCGCCCTGAGTCCCGTAAGGGAGATAGGGAGGTATATAAATTTAAATAATAAATAAATAAAGAAAGAAAGAAACCAACTTGGGACACGCATCATTTGATGGCATTAAAGATTAAAGAATTTGCAACGACAAATGCATAACCAGGGGGGAGTTCCTGAAGCTTTGCCCTCCTCCCCCCACCTTCCCTACATACAGAAACACCCCCCCATCTCCACCTCTGCAAAGTGGGGACCTTGATGATGGGATTTGGCTCCCCTGCCTTCCATTCCACGTGGGGTCCTTCCCCCCCCCCCCCCCAGGAGAAAGAAGACACCAGGCGCCCTTCTGCAGGCTGGCCTTGACTAATAAGGAAGGCAGCAAAACAACCCCTCCCTGTCCAGGACCACCTGCCATTTCGGAAGAGGATGGGCCCCTGACCATGTGCAGAAAGCATTTCTCTTCCTGGCATGGGGGGGGGGCAGCAACTCCCCCTCCTTCCCCTTTCTCCAGAGAGAAATTCCTAGCCTCCTTGAAGCTCAACCCTGCGCAATAGACGAAGCAGGGTTTAGAAGGCCGAGAAGCTTGGCTGGAGGCAAGGAATGAATGAGGGAGGCAGGAAGAAAGGAGAGAAAGAAAGGGGAGGGAGGGAGGGAAGAATGGAAGGAGAGAGGGAGGGAAAAAAAAAGAAAGGATGAATGGAGGGAGGGAGGGAGGGAGGAAGGAAGGAGAGGGAGGGGGGAAGGAAGAAAGGACGAATGGAGGGAGGGAGGGAGGAGAGGGAGGAGGAAGAATGAAAGGAGAGAGGGAGGGGAAAAGGAAGAAAGGCCGAATGGAGGGAGGGAGGAAGGAAAGAGAGGAAGGGGGAAAGGAAGAAAGCACGAATGGAGGGAGGGAGGGAGGAGGAAGAATGAAAGGAGAGAGGGAGGGAAAAAGGAAGAAAGGCTGGAGGGAGGGAGGGAAGGAAGAATGGAAGGAGAGAGGGAGGGAAAAAGGAAGAAAGGATGAATGGAGGGGGGGAGGAAGGAGAGGGAGGGGAAAAGGAAGAAAGGCCGAATGGAGGGAGGGAGGGAGGAGGGAAGGAAGAACAGAAGGAGAGAGGGAGGGAAAAAAGAAGAAAAGACGAATGGAGGGGGTAGGAGGAAGGAGGGGAAAAGGAAGAAAGGAAGAATGGAGGGAGGGAGGGAGGAGAGGGAGGAGGAAGAATGAAAGGAGAGAGGGAGGGAAAAAGGAAAAAAGGACGAATGGAAGGAGGGGAAAAGGACGAATGGAGGGAGGAAGGAGAAAGAGGAGAAAGAATGAAAGAAGAGAGGGAGGGAAAAAGGAAGAAAGGATGAATGGAGGGAGAGAAGAGAGGGAGGAGGGAAGTTAGAATGGAAGGAGAGAGGGAGGGAAAAAAGAAAAGACGAAGGAAGGAAGGAAGGAAGGAAGGAAGGCGAGCCATCCCGCCTTGCCCCCCACCCCGAGATTCCTTTTGGGAACTCCGGGATCGGCCCCCGCCGCCGGGCTCCAAACTCGCCCGGGGCGCCAGGCGCGCACCGTGCGCGGGAGGCCGGAGGTTTCAGCCAGGCAAGGCAAGGCAGGCAGGGAGGGGGGCCCTCCGGGGGGCAGAAGGGAAGGGGATTCCCCGCCTGGGGGGCTTTGGGGGGCCCTGGGGGGGGGCTGCGCAAGAGGCCTCACCGCCGTCCAGGCAGAGGCAGGCGGTCAGGAGGACGGCCAGGGGCGCCTTCATCTTCCGCGGGGGCGACGGCTGCTGCGCTCCGGAGGAAAGGAGAGGCTGGCGGCTGGCTGGCTGGCTGGGCTGGCGACGTCTGGGGAGGGGGAGAAGCGGGGCTGGGGAGGGGGCGGCGGGGAAGGGGCCACGTGCGCCCGCTCGGCAAATCCCGCTCGGGCTGGGCGTTGCGCAGCCGGGCTTCCCTCCTTCCCTCCGCAGAGCTTTCGTTTCTCCCGGAGCGCGTGGGGAGGACCGGGAAGGCGGGCGGCGCGGGAGGGGACGCGGGCGGCCGGCCGGGCTGGCAACCCCGTAATTGATTTAGATAAAGGAGGAGTAGTTGCAGATGGCACCGAGCTGGCAGGAGTAGCCAGCACCCCAGGAGACCAACTCAGGATCCAGAAATAATAATAATAATAATAATAATAATAATAATAATAATAATAATAATAATAATAATAATAATAATAATAATAATAATGATGATGATGATGATGATGATGATGATAAAAAATAAAAATAAATATTGTTATTAGTAATATAATAATAATAATGATGATAATGATGATAATGATAATGATAATAATAAAAAATAAAAATAAATAATAATTATTATTGTTATTACTAATATAATATAATAATAATAATAATAATAATAATGATGATGATGATGATGATAAAAAATAAAAATAAATATTGTTATTAGTAATATAATAATGATGATAATGATAATGATAATGACGATAATGATAATAATAAAAAATAAAAATAAATAATAATTATTATTGTTATTACTAATATAATATAATAATAATAATAATAATAATAATAATAATAATAATAATAAAGTTGGAAGGGACCTCGGAGGTCATCTAGTCCAACCTCCTGCTCAGGTAGGAAACCCTATAACATTTCGGACAAATGGATGTCCAGTTTCTTCTTAAAAACTTCCAGTGTTGGAGCATTCACCGCTTCTGGAGGCAGGTTGTTCCACTGGTTAATTGTTCTAACCGTCAGGAAGTTTCTCCTTAGTTCTAAGTTGCTTCTCTCTTTGGTTAGTTTCCACCCGTTGCTTCTTGTCCTGCCTTCAGGGGCTTTGCAGAATAGCCTGACTCCCTCTTCTTTGGGGCAGCCCCTGAGATACTGGAAGGCTGCTATCGTGTCCCCCCTCGTCCTTCTCTTCGTTAAACTAGACATACCCAATTCCAGCAACCGTTCCTTATATGATCAGTCCCCTGATCATCTTTGTTGCTCTTCTCTGTACTTTCTAGAGTCTCAACATCTTTTTTACATCGTGGTGACCAAAACTGAATGTAGCATTCAAGTGTGGCCTTACCAAGGCATTGTAAAGTGGTATTAACACCTCAAACAATCTTGATTCTATCCCTCTGTTAATGCAGCCCAGCACTGTGTTGGCTTTTTTGGCAGCTGCAGCACACTGCTGGCTCCTATTTAAATGATTGTCCACTAGGACTCCAAGGTCCCTCTCACAGTTACTACTATTGAGCAAGGTACCCCCTATACTATACATGTACATTTGGTTTTTCTTGCCTAAATGTAGAACCTTCCTTTTTTCACCATTGAATTTCATTTTGTTAGATAGCGCCCAGTGTTCAAGTCTGTCCAGATCCTCCTGGAGCAATGCGCCCTATCCAACAAAATGAGTTCCAGTGTGGAGAAATGCAAAGTCTTAGGCAGGAAAAACCAAAAGCACAAATACAGACTGGCTTAAAAACAGCAACTGTAAGAGGGACCTTGGAGTCCTAGTGGACGATCACTTGACCATGAGTCAGCCGTGTGCGGAAGCAGCCTCCAAAAAAGCTAACACAATCCTGGGTTTCATAAACAAGAGGCAGAGAATCGAGATCACACACAATATTAGTACTGCTTTATAAAACCCTAGTGAGGCCACACCTGGAATACTGCAGCCAATTTTGGTCACCGTATCACAAAAAAGAATGTTCAGAGTTTGGAACAAAATTCAGAGAAGGGCAACTAAGATGATCCAAGGCCTGGATACTAAAACATATGAAGAACCTGCTGCGGGACTTGGGTTTGGCCAGTCTAAAGAAAAGAAGAAATAGGGGAGATATGATAGCAGCGTTCCAATATTTGAGTGGCTGCCACAAGGCAGAGGGGGTCAGGTTGTTCACCAAAGCACCAGAGGGAAGGACAAGAAACAATGGTTGGAAACTGATCAAGGAGAGAAGCAACCTGGAATTAAGGAGAAACTTCGTGACAGTGAGGACAATTAACCAGTGGAACAGCTGGCCACCAGAAATCGTGGGTGCTCCATTACTGGAGATTTTAAAGAGGCTAGACAGTCATTTGTCTGAAATGGTATAGGTTCTCCTGTGGCTGGAATAGAAGACCTCCAAGGTCCCTTCCAGATTCTATCCTACTCTACTCTACTCTACTCCTATTCCTATTCCTATTCCTATTCCTAATTCTATTCTATTCTCCGGGTTCAAAAACAAAAGAGATCAGTCAATCAATCATTTAGAATAGAGCTAGAAAGGGACCTTGGAGGTCTTCAAGTCCAGCCCCCTGCTCAAGCAGGAGGCCTTACATCATTCCAGAGAAATGGCTTTCCTGACTCTTCTCGAAAACGTCCAATGATGAAGCACCCACAACTTCTGGAGGCAAGCTGTTCCACTGGTTAATTGCCCTCGCTGTCAGGAAATTTCTCCTTAATTCCAGGTTGCTTCTCTCCTTGGGGAGTTTCCATCCGTTGTTTCTTGTCCTGCCTTCTGGTGCTTTGGAGAATAGCTTGACTCCCTCTTCTTTGTGGCAGCCCCTGAAATACTGGAAGACTGCCATCATGTCAGCCTGTTCTTTGTTTTGTCTAAACTGGCCATTCCCAAACCCTGCCACCTTTGAGAGAAAATCCTTGGTGGTTTCCTTGCAGATTTTTCATTGCCAAACTATCTAATCAGCAAAACCAAAGTCAAAAGTTTCATTTTCTTTTCATGGCCAGCAGAAACTGCAGAAATGAAAACGAAAATATATTCTCCTCTCGGAATAGAAAAATCAATTTAACCATTACTGCTTTATCTTCCTCGCTGTTGAAATAGTATGCATTTCTATTTGCCCTTAATAATCTTTATAATCTATCACCATTTGTATTAAAAAAAAATTCACTGTATTCTTTCGGATTTTTTTACTCTTTTTTTTTTATTGAAAATTTTATAAAATTTTACAATATAAATCCCCCCCTTCCCCAACCCACCCTTCCACCCCCCCTCCCTCCCCCCTCACTTCCCATTGCCAATCACAGGGTTAACAATAACATAATCATACTCTAATTAACATTAATCAACTATTAAAATAACATATCTATAACCTCCTTTAACTCTCTTTTAAACAAATATACAGTTATTAAAAACAATAATAGTAACAACACTTTAATAATTAAAAATAGTACTAAATAAAATATTCTAAACTTTATACAACGATAATACTCTAAAATTCACTCAAAAATCAAATGATATTTTTAATCCCATATTTACGCTCAATATAATCTATCCATCTTCAAGATTTTTTTAATCTTGAAAGGAATTTTTTGTTTCATCCATTTTAAAACCCTAAGCTTTGCTTTAAAAACATTTCTAAAATTGAAACATTCTAATACATATTTTTTTTAAAAATTTCCACTTCGCATTCATACTTGAAAGTTCACTTTCAGAACAATACAATTCCAACTAACTCCAATTAACTCATTAAATTTAGGTCACTCCCTCCAAGTTACCCTCATAGAATATTTTCTTCTTGTTGTTGTATACATCCTTTTCAAGACTCTCGATTTTTCTTTAAGCTAATGCATCTTTTTCTTTAACTTTCAAAAATGAAATTTAGTTGCCCGCTCTCAAAGTGAAACACATACATGACACACACCTAAACATACTATGTACAACACATATATATATAGACCCACACCCGTACATATACATACAAATAAATATTAAATACTGTCCATCTTGAATATATAACAGAAGGAGGAAGCTTGAGATTTCACAAGGTTAATCCTGTATGGAATGAAACTATAGTATCAAAGCACAATTCTCTTCTCTAATTTACAGTCATAAATCACATTCTCCAATTAGTTTGAAATGCAGGCTCTCCCTCCAGTTCTCCAGCCCACCAATTTTATCATCCCGTATTTATTATTATTATTATTATTATTATTATTATTATTATTATTATTATTATTATTATTATTATTAATAATAATAATAATAATAATAACAATAATAATAAAGTTGGAAGGACCTTGGAGGCCATCTAGTCCAACCCCCTGCTCAGGCAGGTAACCCTATACCATTTCGGACAAATGGCTGTCCAGTCTCTTCTTTAAAACTTCCAGTGTTGGTGCATTCACCGCTTCTGGAGGCAGGTTGTTCCACTGGTTAATTGTTCTCACTGTCAGGAAGTTTCTCCTTAGTTCTAGGTTGCTTCTCTCCTTGATGAGTTTCCACCCGTTGCTTCTTGTCTTGCCTTCAGAGGCTTTGGAGAATAGCTTGACTCCCTCTTCTTTGGGGCAGCCCCTGAGATACTGTAAGACTGCTATCATGTCCCCCCTCATCCTTCTCTTTGTTAAACTAGACATACCCAATTCCAGCAACTGTAACTTGTATGTTTTAGCCTCCATTCCCCTAATCATCTTTGTTGCTCTTCTCTGTACTCTTTCTAGAGTCTCAACATCCTTTTTACATCGTGGTGACCAAAACTGGATGCAGTATTCCAAGTGTGGCCTTACCCAAGGCATTTCAAAAACCTTGGTTCTCACCCTAGTTACAATATTGTAATGTCTAACTAAACTCCCATGCACATTCCTCCTCCTCCCCCTCAGTATCATCTAATTCTAACTCTAATTCTAAGAGTAAAACATAAGAAGGGAAATGGCTGCATCTCCATATGCTGTCAAAGCAAAAACATCCGATGTTAGCAGCGTTGACATCTGCCCCCCACCCTACAAAACGGACAGATCCTGTAACGTAAACAAAAGCATATGTTAGAGACTGCCTCTCGGTTTGTTAGGGTGTTTCCTATAGAACAGACATGTCAAACACAAGGCCCGGAGGCCGG